CACCAGGGGAGGGGGTGTCCTGGAAGCAAAGGGGAGAAAGCATTTCAAGAAGTTCAAAGTATTTGAGTGTGTCAATGCTGCTACAAGGTAGGGTGGGAATGAGAATTTCCCCTTATATTTATAAAGATGGATGTTCTGGGTAACCCTTACAAAAGGGTTAAGTCAACACAGTAGTTATTTTTTTTCAACGTTTATTCATTTTTGGGACAGAGAGAGACAGAGCATGAACGGGGGAGGGGCAGAGAGAGAGGGAGACACAGAATCGGAAACAGGCTCCAGGCTCTGAGCCGTCAGCCCAGAGCCTGACGCGGGGCTCGAACTCACGGACTGCGAGATCGTGACCTGGCTGAAGTCGGACGCTTAACCGACTGCGCCACCCAGGCGCCCCTCAACACAGTAGTTAAAACAAAAAGTCTCAGAGAAGAGAAGTGAAAACCATTCCTCAAACAGGCCAGTTTGTCCCTGCCTCAGAGCCTTTACAGATGCTATTTGGTCATCCTGAAACATGTATTCCTCTAGACTGTTCTGTACACCTGTACCTCCCTCCTGTCAGGATGCAAATCACCTCCTCCAAGAGGCCTTCCTAAGTAAACACCCTTCCCCACTAATTACTCTTTAGCCCCTTACACCTTGCTTTCTCAAAACAGTATATCACACACATAAGACAGTAAATCACAATACTTGAAATCTGTTACTTCATTTATTTGTTAATCTCTCCTACAAGAATACAATACATGAAGGAATAACATGTACAAACACTTTTTAAGGGCAACGTAAACATTTTTCTGGATGCATCATTCCTGAAAGATCTTCTAGTACCTGAAGATACAACTTTATTGTTTTTAAGTTATTTACTTTGAGAGACCATGCACGTGAGCACAAGCAGGGGAGGGGTGGAGAGAGAGGATCCCAAGCAGGCTCTGCACTGTCAGCACAGAGCCCGACGCAGGGCTCAAACCCATGAACCGTGAGATCATGACCTGAGCCGAAGTGGGCCGCTTAACCGACTGAGCAACGCAAGCGCCTCTGAAGATACAACCTTATTGACTACAATTCTCTGGCGGTATGAACTGTGCAATACAGCAACAAAGAAGGTCCGTAATGTTAGAATCATTGGCAACCCCCCCGTACTGCCATTCTTCTGCCACGAAGCTTCCTATAGGAACCTATATGTTCCTTGGTTATAACCCATCATGTGGTTTTCTCACAGAACACTTTTACCTTAACGTTACTTCAGAGAAAACTGTGTTTAGTAAAATTAATATTAATTAGAATTCTCACCTTCAATTTCTTGTTCACAATGGCAGAGCATACCCTAAATCCAGCTAGGTCATCCCCAAAGTTCTCAGAGAAATGAAAGTTGTAGAAAACTTTAAACCAGAGATAGCCTAGCCCACTTTTTGTCATACATGGACACCAAGACCAGTGATCCATAATTAAAACTCCTAAACCCAGGTGGCTCAGTCGGTTAAGCGTCCGACTCTGGCTCGGGTCATGATCTCACGGTTTGTGAGTTCGAGCCACGTGTCAGGCTCTGTGCTGACAGCTCAGAGCCTGGAGCCTGCTTCTGATTCTGTGTCTCCCCCCCTCTCTGCCCCTCCCATGCTCAGGCTCTGTCTCTGTCTCTCAGTAATAAATAAATGTTAAAAAAAATTCTGAACTCCTCAACCCAACTCCTAGCCTTTTGTAAAGTTAGAGAAAGCCGTCTGGCTTATGACAAGGGCCTAGGTAAATAACAAAGTATGTTCTAATTATTAGACAAACGTTAGAAACTAGACTTTTGTTATTTTGTAATGTACCACTTCACTCCTGGAAATTATTAGTTGAGACCTTTATATCATTTAGTGGCTCTGTGTCCAGAGTAGAAAGAGATAGGATTTTATTCTAGAAACTCTATGGGAAATACTTGCCTTAGTATCTCTAAGAAGGATACAAAAAAAACCCTCCCAGGTTTAAGTCCATATTAATAATCTGTTAATCAGTTTATAACTTGTCAGTGAAGTTCTGGCACAGCATGTTGCTGGATTAAATAAATAAGAGAATTACAATCATCATCTCTTTAAGGTTCCTTTTTGGAATATAAGTAAAATATAGTTACCATATGGTATATATTTTTGATGTACTAAAAGTATCCCTCCTACTTAATTTTGTTTTGGGAAAGGGACACAGTAAGTAGGTGTATTGAGGGAGGGGTGTTCTGGAAGATCTATTAAACCTACAGACATGCTTTAAAAAAGCTAGAGTGGAGTAGCAGTGAAGAATTAGAGAGTCTCCTAGAGGCATCGATGTGGACTGCTACCGAGCACATGCATGGTTAGATTCTAATAAATTGAACGATACGGAAGAGAGAAGGGGAAAAGGTGAAGTCAGTCTTACTGTTAAAAATACTTTTCAGTGGGAGAAAAGCTATCAAATATTTATTGATTGCTTACTGTTTCGAGCACATTTCAAAGATCAATGGAATGATTCTAAATGCCCCTACAAAAACCAAAAAACAAACCACACAAAATACAAAAAACACAAAACCTCCACTAACTGGAGCTGACAGACCATTTATATTATCCAAAAAAAGTCTTCCTAACATCTAAAACAAATAATTCACTTAACAAACACATTCTGAGTGGGCACTATGTGCTAGGCACTTTTCTAAATGCTAAAGATACAGTAGTAAGTAAACCACATGGATTGTAAGTGGAGGGAAATATACTAAATAAGTAAATGGCTTAGTATTTTAAAAGTATCAGAGTTACCTTTAAAGCACTTAGACCATGATAAGTACTTTGGAGGGGGAAAAAAAAGAAAGAAAAGGAGATAAGATGTAAGAAATTTATTTGTATTCATTGTAGGTAGCCTATCTGTTTTATTATAGAGTAGATTTTATAATATAACAAGGTTCTTTTAGAATCAATATTCGCAGGGGGCGCCTGGGCGGCTCAGTTGGTTAAATGTCCGATTCTTGATTTCAGTTCAGGTCATGATCTCATGAGGTCGTGATTTGTGAGTTTGAGCCCCACATCGGGCTCTGCACTGCTAGAACAGACTGCTTGGGTTTCTCCTTCTCTTTCTCTCTCTCTCAAAATAAATAAATAAACATAAAAAATATATAACCCAGGGACGCCAGAGTGGCTCAGTCAGTTAAGGGTTTGACTTTATTGAGCCATGATCTCCTACCACGGTTTGGCCAGGAGGTGAAACCCCACATCAGGAATATATGTGTGCCTTTGACAGCCTCAGAGCCTGGAATTCTCATTCCAAATTCTGTGTCTCCCTCTCTCTCTCTGCCCCTCCCCTGTTTACTTGGGTGCTCTCTCTCTCAAAAATAAACATTAAAAAAAATTATATATATATTATATATATAATACATATTTTTATAAAATATATCACTTTGTAAGGTACAAAATATAACTTCATATATTTTTTAACTATTAGTATATCTCCCCTCTTAGAGTTTATTATTAATTATAATTTATTTGATATGTTCTTGGTCAAGAATATAATCTATAATGACTAACCACAAGGCCTTTTAGCTAAACACAATGCTCTTTTGAATATTTATTGCTTTATGAAGGATTTTGAGGGGAAAAAAACATGTTTAGGAAAAAAAAATGAAGGCGCGCCTGGGTGGCTCAGTCGGTTAAGTGTCTGTGACCCAAAGCTCAGGTCATGATCTGAAGTAGTCGTGAGTTTCCAGCCTTGCATCAGGCTCTGTGCTAACAGCTCAGAGCCTGGAGCTTGATTCTGATTCTCTGTCTCCCTATCTCTCTGCTCCTCCCCTGTTCATGCTCTTTCTCTCTCTCAAAAATAAATAAACATTTAAAAAAAAAAAAAAACCCTCTGATTATTGACTTCCAACAGTGAACCAAGGATTTCAAGCACCAATGATTTTCATTTCTAAAAAACATTACACTCACTAGTCACCCCATCTAAAATTTATATGATCAAATAAAAATCAAAATAGCCTAAATCAAACGGAAATTTTGGTTATTAGTGTCATTAGTATACTAATCAAGATATAACAATGCTTGACTTTGTTTTCCTATATAACCTGAAAGGAACAGTAAAATACTAACTCTTTGGGAAGAACTCATTGCTAATTTAAAACAAAGGCATTAGTTTTACAAGCTAAAATGCATACAAACTTTCATTTTACTATGTTTCAGCTGTCTCGCACTTCTAACTTGGATTAGAAAGTTTATACAATGTGTTGAGGGAGCGTAGGGCAAGCTAAGGGCAAAGTACAGGCTAACAGTTCCCTGCCCCTGCCTGCCCCCCCTCCCCCCACCAGGTGGAATATGTGTGATATTCCTCGGATGCTCCTGGTTGCCCAAGAACAAAGGAAAGGGGTTTAAGTGCTTGCCATGGTGATGTGGGAAACTAAGGCAAATGAAAAATTAAACTCCCTTACTGCCTACAGGCCACTGACAAGTCCTTGAAATGGGCAGAATAATCTCCCTCTAGGAGGAGCCTGGATGACGATAACACTTTGCTAGGGGCAAAAGAGAATCTTGGCTTAACATTATCCTGACGCCCCTCTCAGGAACCTGTAAGTCTACTTTAACATACAAAAATTCCTTTGGAAACGTCCTTTATCTCAACTCCCCCAAGATATATGCTGGCAAACATACTCCAAGCTTATGGCCCCCAATATACATCTGAAGGGTCTCATGACTGAGGTTTTACTAAACATTAATATATGGTGTTTCCTTAGCAACAGCTAGCCCCTCAAGGTCCTGGAAACCTTGTTTCCAAAATTCCTTCACGACTTGCTCTATCCCTGACCCCCTCCCAACCTGAGGGTATGTAATGGGTTACCCACCACAACCCCAATGCAGCTCTTCCAGCGCACAGGTCCTGCCCCCCATGCTATAATAAAATCACCTTTTTGCACCAAAGACGTCTTCAAGAATTTTTTCTTGGCTGTCGGCTCTGGATCACCCCCCAACCATGACCCCAAAACTTCATCACAATGTAAATTAAGATTTCATCAAAATTAAGCTTACCTTCAGGCTGGCATGAGAACGTGGTTGACTTAAATCCTGAAATTTCCATTGCTCTGATCCAGGGGTCTCTCCGCCTTTCTGAGTATCTGGTGTAAGCAATCCGTCTCCAGCAGGTAATGGGAAAATCCCTAATGATATAGGACGTTCTTTTCTATTGAAGAGGGGAGAAAAAATTAAGCATTCATTCATTTTTTATTTTAATTATCATGACTATAAGTAATAAGCCTGGGCTGTCACTGGTTTAGAGTAGTAACTCTTAAAAAATACTGTCTGCCTATCTAAACAAGTAAGTAGACTTACCAAAGAGAAAGGACAGTCTCAGAAGTTCAAATTAGCCCCAAGAAATTAATTAAGAAAAGTAATAACTAATAGTTTAAGAAACCTTCTAAGTTACTGATGAGTTCCTTCCCCGGGAAGCAGTCAGTGGTCTGGTTTCATAGCAACAAAAGCTACTAAATTTTCATTCCCGCTTACATTAGCCATCGGGAAACTGGCAACCTCCTCCTTTGGAAGGAAGTACAAGCTTTGCTTCTAGACTTCCCAAATCCTCAAACCCATACCTAGATGCTTACCCAAGCTTCTTCAGGGTACATCTTTTCTGCCTAGAGGAAAGTCTGTGTATAATCTAAACCAGGACTACCAATTAATTGATAAAAAGAACTCAAGAGAGTTTTAATCCTTAACAGCAGGAAAGCGGTATTTTTCTACAGAACCAGTATATGCATTCCTTTCAATCACGGTACTTATGAGAAAACCATTGTCAGTTTTTCCAAACAAGGAGGCCAAAAAATTCTATAAAAGACTGTAGAGTTTCCAGTGCTTTGTGGGAAATTTCAATGAACAAGAGTTACAATTTTAATAAGAATAGAATTTCAACTAGAAACACATCCTTTGGTGAGGCATAGCAGATTACAAATCAAAGGACTTTTTATAGGGTGGAAACCAGCCTAGGAAGAGGTCGTCCTGGGTCATTAACTCAAAAGAGAGGAAACTGGCAAGAAAGGAGACACTAAAAGTTTGGGGCCTCCTGGAACTCATACCTCTACTGGTAAGAATGTAAATTAGAATAGAAACACTAAGGCTGTAAATAAAAGCGGGAAAATACTCCGTTTTGCTAAGTTATTCTCTAAGCTCATTTTTATACCAAGAAACTTAAGCCACTTGAAATGTGCCCTCACTTAACACAAAGGATATATGCTCTTCCATTCCAAACTACAATCAAAGGATTAGTAAAACTGCCAGAACACCTTCTTAAAGACTGGATGAAGGAAAAGGATTGAGACTGCATTTTGTCAAAGGTGTGTGCACCAGGAAGTAAAACAGGACTTTTCTCTATTACTTATTGATCATTTCTTTACATGTGGAATACTCTTCCCATTTGATTTGGGAAAATTCAAATGCAGGTAGGGAGGACAATAAAAGGCTAGATTTTAAAACAAATTTGTTTATAAACAATCTATGAGCTTCCAGAACATCCAAACGACAAAAAACTAAATTAACTACTCAGCTATTCTGTTTAGACCAGTTATTCCCTACTGCTGCCTCAGCAGTAAAGTTTTTATAAGTCTGTAGTGAAAAGAGACATTATTTATAATATCCTTATTGCATAACATAGGCCATATTGTATACATATACATTTCCATATATCATAGAACCTGGTCCTTCCTGAGAATGATGGATTTTTTCTACATCTTTTCTGCTTCCTTGATTTTAAAATCCCTTTTCATCAAATGATGGTGACAATGTTTAGAAAGCAAATTTTGTTTTAATGTCCATACCTGACAAAATAAAAAGTTGTTAACCTGATGTTTATCCCTCAATTTGGGAAGAATATATTTTGGGAACCAAAAATCTGAGGGTCTAAGTGCTACTTAGATAGATGACTTACTTTTTTGTTGTTGTTGTTGTTAATGTTTATTTATTTTTGAGAGAGAGAGACAGAGCACGAGCGGGGAAGGGACAGAGAGAGAGCGAGACACAGAATCCGAAGCAAGCTCCAGGCTCTGAGCTGTCACCACAGAACCTGATGCGGGGCTCGAACTCAAGAACTATGAGATCGTGACCTGAGCCAAAGTCGGACGCTTAACCGACTAAGCCACCCAGGCGCCCCACTCACTTATTTTTTAACATATCTTAATAACTTAAGCAAAAAGGTGTGAATTTAATCAGTTCAATGGAAAGTTCTCTAACCCACCCAGGAAGATAAGACAGACTTCATGCAAATCCATCACACTGCTAACAGAAATCAAAACACAGGCCAGGCGTTAGACTTCTCTTCCTATACAAATGACAGCACTTCATTTTCACACATATCAAGTACTGTAAAAGTATAAACCAACTGGAGGAAGGAGCCTGCTATAGATCCAAGTTTTGCTTTTCCCCTCCTGTTAACTAAGCCTATAATCCAAAATACCAGTAGAATTTGTACCTGTTTATATTGCTTTTCTTAATCATTTAGAAACTGCTCTATAGGGAGGGCATTCAGAGACCATCAAGACCTGACGATCTGGGTTATAAGATTCCAACTCTGGAAAAAATATTACTACATCCATGCCTTCTCTCCTTATTTACTGAGAAGTTATATGAGAGTTAAGTGGAGGAAGGACATGCAATTATGCAAGTCAATCAGAATCCTACTTTTAAAAAACACTGAAAGTTGAATGTTTGTTGCATGTTTAATACTCTACACGTTAAAGGCTCCAGTGAAACTCACAGAAGAAACCAAAGAATGGGATACAATGTGGGAAAATATCAAGTGACAGGTTTAAATGCCTGGTGTTTCCATATGCTATTACGGTCTAGAAACAAAGCCATCTTTGACTATCAGAACCCTTGTTACATTCTTTTAAAAACTGGCTTTGTTCCATATTTCCGCTTTTCAGTTGGTTATTTAAATGTTAGCTGTGTATAAATTCTCAATTAGGTTTTGAAACAGCTTTTTGGCTATACAGACATTTAAAACAAATAACCATAAATAAAAATTTTTAAAGGATTGGTCAACACTCATCATGTGGCAAGCCCTAAGAAGGATGGTCTGGCCACATTATCTCATTTAACCCTCATAAGAAAATAGGAATTATTTTCCAGTTGTCAAATTAGGAAAAGTGATGCTCAGAGACATGAGGCACTAGTAATCCACAGAAGCGAGACTCAGAATCAGACCTGTTGCCCTCCAAGGCGCATGTAGCTTCCTTGGAACCTACCTATTTTCTTGACAATTTAATTTTAATATTGAAGATTTTAATATCTTTATTCAAGCAGATCATCGGCAATTTTTGCATCAAGAAACTGTTTGAATTTAGTCATAAGGTATTTTATCAATAAAATAGCTAAAGTTCTGGAAAATAGTTCTGCTACAGATGGGGTACGTGTAAGTGACTACAAATTATTTACTTGTTTGGCTTACTAAATATCTTGCAACTGACTGAAGACGAAACAATAATCTCACAATTTTTAAAACTATCCAAAGGGGGTAAGAAGGGTCCTACAGCACACAAGTGGCAGAGCATTTATTGGCAAGGCAGCCCAGCTCCAAAGCCCACTGCGCGGCACTGCCTTCTCAGACAGAACCCAAACCTAAGACGGCCCTTTCAAATTAGTCTTATTTCAATATTCTATATATTCTTAAGGTCTTTTTAATTTCCTAAAAGCCTAAATATACATATAAACAAATCTTTTATGTACTCAACATATAAAAGTAGTTAGATCTCTTCCGATTTTTATAAAATGAGGAAAGAAAATAAATGACCAAGTATCTAATTTTAGACCACATATGAAATTTTAATTTCTGGGCCTTAATATTAAACATGAACTGATCTATGAATATAAAGAACACATTGAGGGAATTTACTAGTTTAATTCATCTTAATTTATCTAAATCCACAATTAGAAGTTGAGAACTTTAAGGAAACATTTAAATAATAAAAGCTACACACCATGAGCCTTCATTTAAAACCGCGCACAAAGCAGAAATCTGAACAAATCAGATGCTTTTGGTGTGATGAATTAGAAAACAAAAGGCAACCAAACCCTTAAATATCTGAAATGTAGAAGATGGTTCTCACAGGGTGCAAAGGAGAGTGAACAGCAGCAAAGCTCTGGAGATTAATGACTACCCCCACAAGCAGGCACGGATATTTGTCACCCAAGTCTACAAAGAAAGGGCACCATCTGACAAAACAATAGTGAATAGGCTTTGTAAAGCTTTCACAACTTTGATGTGTAAATAATGCAGGGAAGCTGCATTCCTGGCCTTAAAAGGTTTAAATCCTTTCACTTTAAAATATATTTTGTTTTAGAAAGAAAATATTTAAATTGTCCGGTCCTGGGAGTTATTACCAAAAACTGCAAAATTGATGCCTGCATGTTCTTCAGTCAAAGGATAACTGAACAGAATAAAACCTAGAGCCTGTGTCTAATTGACTACAAGTCTAAGCATAAGAGATATTTGCCCCTAAATGCTCATATGCTAAACGCAGAGGCTGTATAAACTTGGACCCGGTGTTTTACTCTTGCTCTCCCTTTACTCTCTGAACACTGCTTAAAACAAGACCACACTGACCTTGTACTTGTGTATAAGTACAATTATGAAAATCCTTTTCGTAAGTCGGCGGTTTCCAAAGACAAAGCCGTGTCCCTAGGTGATGGCCTATAAATTACTATAAATAAGAACAGAAATCCTAGCTTCAGGCCATTTTCCATTGTTTCAATCTGCAACAGAAATGGTTACAAAGCAGACCTGTGAAGCTAAAAATTTGAGAAAAACCAACTAAACAGGGGCTTCTAAGAGAGACTAGAGTACCTGAGTATCCTTGGTAGGTTCTGCGTCAGAGCTGGCACACCGGTAGAAATAGAAAAGTGCACAAGCAGCAAAACAGAGAGAGATACTAAGATAGCAGAATTAATGACCACCGCCCCGCCAACAAAGCCAAACACAAACAGCAGCATGCATCCAGGACTCATGGCGCTGTGCTGGCATGGTGAAACACCCGAACCAGGAGGCCTACACGGGGGCCAAAGGGATATCTTTGTAGTGAGGATCTGTCATTCAGCTGCTGCCACAAAAACAATGCCATCAGCAGCAGCTTTCCACTCCATCCTGCAGCAGCCCCGAAGCGATGACGTCATCCTGCTCTCCCCTCCCCACCGCACAACCATAGAGCTGCTGCTCCTAGCATTTATGCAGCAATCTAGAGCGACAGCCAGCCTATTAACTATTTTCCTCTCCGCTGAGAGTCCTGGCTTAGCTCATTGGCTACAGTGCTTGGGAGATCTACATAATTTATTCACACTCCTCCATCAAACACCAGTCTAACCCTTTCAAACACGCCTCTGTACACAAAAAGGACTTTAAACCAGTTATACAGGAGAAATGAAAATCTTTCAGCACTCCCATGAATCAGAAAAACTTAAACCTAGTATAATCGCCATTAAGTATTACAAAACAATCAAAATACCTCGGTATGCATATGCTGCTTATAGGGTATGGCTCACGATTTACCTTTTCAACAGTGAGGGCTGTTTCTATTTTTCTATGCTATTCTCTCCTATAGCATTCCAACCATAGTAGAGAGCTTTTTGAATCAGCCTAACTATTGTTCCAGGATTAAAGAACAGAGAGAAACAGAAACAAACAGATTATTTCGATTTTTCTCAAGGCAAAATGTTTAACAAAGCTTACCTAATTCTACTATGAGCTGTGGACTCTAGTTGATCACTCCCTGAGAGCTGATGAAGTTTTGTTCTTTCTAAGTGTTCCATATAATTATGGATCATCTATTTTGAAGAAAGAAAAAAAAATATGCAAAATTTTAAGGCTAATATCTGGAATGAAAACAACAAGGGAAACATTTTTGTAGAAACTTATTTACCAGACTACCCACAGTTCTATGTAGAAGATTATTAAGTATGAAAAAAATTTTAATGGCAAAGGAATATGCAAATGCTTACATTTAGGGATGCTGCTATCCAAAGAAGTAGCCATCATGTTGCTTAGCATAGCAAAAACCTTTTTTTAATATGTGATGTTACCAAAAGATATAATTTTGACATAAATACCACAAGTTAGGATACAGACATTGTGGAGGCAGTGATAAGAGATCACTGATTAAAAATAATAGAGGGCATCTGAGAAGTCCATGCACTAAACTGGGAAACAAAAAAGAAATTAATGTGAAACTTGAGAAGAAACTGTACCCTTCCTTATGTGGTGATCTTTTCCCATTTTACAAAGAACTCAGAGTATTATCACTTTCAATTTAATTTAATTAAGTAATTTAATTTAACTTAATACCAGGATGTTTATTTCTTGTGTTTACAGACTTCATTGAAAGGATGCTAAAATATTTTCTCTTTTGTTTGATTGTTAATTTATTGGTATCACTGTTTGATGTAATCATCTATAATAATAGCAAGGTAAATGAAAAATCACAGCATTTTGATTTTAAATCTTGGATAAGGAGCCATAAGATAGACAACTGAATATGTTCAAGAGTATCAAGTATATAAACTGCCAAGAAATCCAATATTTCTATTTAATTTTTGGTCATCTATAGTTTCACTTTTAAGAAACCTAAATCTGAGGTGCCTGAGTGGCTCATTGGTTAAGCAACCAACTCTTGATTTCAGCTTCGGGTCATGATCTCACAGTTCCTGAGATCAGGTCCCGTTTTGGGCTCCACACTGCCAGCGTGGAGCCTGCTTGAGATTCTCTCTCCCTCCTCTGCCCATGCACAGTCTCCCTCTCTCTCTCTCAAAAATAAATACGCTTTGAAAAAATTTTTAAAAAGAATCCTAAATCTGGCATTAAAACATGTAAAATGCAATTTTAATCATAAACTCAAAAGGCCTTTGCTAGATACTAATGTGCTATGAATAAGAAAAAATGAATTTAAAGGAAAAAAAAGGTATGTTAGCAATCTAAAGGAATGTAAATTTGAAAAGTAAATAAGAAAAGGTTACTGTCTTTCTGAGGACTATCCCTTGAATTCTTAAAATTTGAATGTTCTTTGAATGCTTGAAAGCATGGAACAGCTTTGTAAGCTTCTAAACTTTAGCTGTTATGATCATGGATTTCATCTCAACTATAACAAAATATGCACTGTAGCACATTAAAAGGATAACTATTGAAAGAAAAGAGATTTTGAACAAATTTATAAAATTTCTGTTTAGATTTTTTTTAATGTTTATTTTGGAGAGAAAGAGAGAAAATGGGGGAGGGACAGAGAGAGAGAGAGAGAGAGAGAGAGAGAGAGAGAGAGACAGAATCTGAAGAAGGCTCCAGGCTCTGAGCTGTCAGCACTGAGTCCAACACAGGGCTCAAACTCAAAAACGGCAAGATCATGACCTGAGCAAAGTTGGACGTTCACCCAACTGAGCCACCCAGATGCCCCAAATCTACAAAATCTTTAAAAAGCATGTTTTATTGGGAAATTTTTACTTGGCGTGCATGTACAAAAATTAAGAAATATGTAAATCAGTTTGAAAGTGTTATTTACTTCAAATAAACAAAAGGCCGAACTGATGCATGAATTAAGCAAGTAATCTGTCAAATCAAACATTATAAAAGAATTAATCAGGGATTAATTGGGTGGCTTAGTCACTAGAGCATCCGACTCTTGATTTTGGCTGAAGTCCTGATCTTGTGGTTCGCGGGATCAAATAAGAAAAAATATTGAGGAAATTAATCAGCTGCTTCCTAATTAAGACTAATCTAAACAAGAATTATTTCGGGCAAAGAAAAATTAATGTAGAATTACAGGGATATGGTATATGGAAGCATTTTTTTTTTTTTTAAGTAGACATTAGGTTCCATCCAGAGCCCAAAGCAAGGCTAGAACTCATAACCCTGAGATTAAGACCTCAGCGAGATCAAGAGTAGGACACTAAACTGAGCTACTCAAACGCTCCTGAAAGCAATTTTTAAAGTTTTAAATTTAAACACACTTTCCATTTTTTAACATTTTATTTTTTAGAGACAGAGCACAAGTCGGGGAGCAGCAGAGGGGGAGAGAGAGAGAATCCCAAGCATGACCTGAGCTGAAATCAGGAGTCAGACATTCAACTGACTGAGCCATCCAGGCACCCCCTTTTCTATTTTAAATGTACAGATTTTTCTCTTTAACCTCATTTAAGGAACATACTTGCAGAAATACAGTTTATGATTCTGTGTCAGCACATCAGAAATAATGAACTGTTTTCTTTTTGTATCACAATGAACTTTAAGGAAAAAAAAAAATGAAACTAATATAACAAAGTGACGATTGGGCCAAATACGTAACAACTTAAATTTTCAAAACATTTTAGAAAACCTAAGTTGAATTCTTATATACCAGAGAGTAATCATATGCAACTGATTAACTCAGATGAAAGAATCTGTTTCCCTAAGCATTCAGATGATGAAAATAGAAACCTCCCCTAGACTGCCTTTAGAGTAATCTATTTATTCAATATAGAAAAATAAAAATTATAAATGCAAAGACAGAATCCATTCTACCCCCGCCCTCAAATAGTCCATTCTATGGATTGACTCTTATCTTAAATGATTAAATTTAGTTTTTCATTTATACCATGTTGAATTATTTGTTTATACATAATGTTGAATTCTAAACCTTCTTCAAAAGACTGACCCCTTCTTCAAATGATATATCCCAGATATATTAGGTATTCTGTATAAAGTACAGAATAATAACAAAATGGCAGCTAACATTTATTGAGCACAACTCAGTCAGTGCATTTACAGCTACTGTTTCATTTAATCCTCACAACAATATTACAGTTTTATAAACTCCAACTTATGGTTAAAATAACTTGCCCAACCAATTTGACCACCTAGTTAATGATCAACTGTGTTCTAACAGCCATTAGCTAGTTGGCTTTAGGGCTAAAACTCAGGTCCCTCTGACACAGTGGACTTAAGAAGTTAAGCATTACAGGACTGGTTTTGTATTTGCCCTTTTAGTCAATTTCCTAGGCAGGCAATAAGCTCATTGTTCTTTCTTCCTCACACCCACAAGAAAACCCCACACCCTAAAGCATTTCCTGACATCTGAAATAAAATATGCACTATATTCTGTAAATGCACCAAAAAAGTAGAAAAAATAAACTGCACATAAAAATCTTGATTCTAATTACAGGGCTTCACAATATAGCTCTGTTTAAAAAAAAAAAAAAAAAGTGAGTGGGAGGGTAGGATCAGTGCTGCCAGACAGAAGAGAGAGGTAAGAAAGTAAAAGAAGACATGCTTTAGATAATCTACTATTGGGTCCACTGGCCCTATCCCTCCTGATCTCATTAGCTGTAATTCTCCATTTTCTCAGGTAAGCACAGTAATTCACACATATTCAGAAGTCGATTCAGCAACAAACAATAGGGAGTCATGAAGAAGGATCCCAAGCACACTGTCTGGAAAATCCTAAATCCCCACCACATAGAAACATCACTACCGAGGTTGACTGTCATCTTGATCTTGGCTAAAACTGAAAAGTAAGGCAGTAAGCGAGGTTTTGGAGACAACTGGCATGTATTCCTCTAATCGTGTTGTCGTGAATCTCTCCATATGCAGCCCAAGAATCATAGATCTATACCTGCAAAGCCACTATTCTTAAAGTTGTTGCAATGCCATAAGGCAAAGAGGCACAGAAAAATTTCTAGTGTTTTTAACATTTATATGTTCCGTACCTAAAAGTGTTATTGAAAATTCAGACAGGGGCACCTGGGTGGCTAAGTCAGTTAAACTGACTTTGGCTCAGGTCATGATCTCATGGTTTGTGAGTTCGAGCCCCACATCAGGCTCTGTCCTGACAGCTTGGAGCCTAAAGTCAGCTTTGGATTCTGTGTCCCTTTCGCTCTCAGCCCCTCCCCTGCTCACGCTCTGTCTCTCTCTCTCTCAAAAATAGGTAAACGTTAAAAAAATTTTTTTTAATAAAAAAATAAAAGAAAACTCAGTCAACAGGGGCGCCTGG